AATTACGTATACTGCGCATTTACTATATTACAAATATACATACAATTATTAGTATTACGCTGAGTATTACAAAATAAATTAATTCAAAATATACGGTACACTGCTCTCTCTTTCATATGTATAAGAATAAAGTATTCAGACTTTTAATGTAAACCGCAAAATGTGTGAATGAAAAGGGTAAACGTACTACTTGGGATCACAGGAATAAAATAATTTATTTCATAGCTCTAATAGCATACAAGTAGTTTCCAAGATAGTAACTTCACTACTCCTACGCTTTGGGGCCGTTATTATATACATGCGAAAAACTACGATAACTCGGTACTGTTGAGAAGAAGAAGAATACTGGAGACAGAGTGGAATCAGTTTTACGATTGTTAATTTGATCGATTAACAATGAAGCACTCAACACTATCTTACTAAGAGGAAGGATTCCATCGTGAAAGGTATTTTAAGCCCATCTGGCTTGTGTTTATGTTTTATATGGAGAAAACAATGAAAATACACATTACGCCAACACATATGTGAGGATTTTAACCATGGTCGAACTACCACTGCTCAGTAGGTCTCACTGACTTGACTTCTGGTGGACTCGGTATTAAATTTAACTTTCTGAAACGAGCGAATAGGTGTATGCGTGTCTGAGCATTGTATTTCACTATGCCATATACCTTGTCACTTGGAAAATATGCCGAAACTTAGGCCTTTTCCTTTCTCGTCTTTTTTTTACTTCCTTGTACGAAGTAAAGGAAGTATTGTAATCACGGAAAATTCCGGGTATCATATTTCAATGAAAATATCCATTTTGACCGCTATCGAACACAATTTAACGATGTTTTTGCGCGGTTACTTTACGTAAGGACGGGATAAATGACTCCTTATAAAAATTGTTTTAATTTTTGCTTCTTATTAGGTTTATTCATGTATATATATATAGATATACATGAAGAATATATGTATACCTACTATATTTCTTGGCTAAGTGAGCTCAGTATTTTTTTTATTCTTATATGTTAGTAAATTGTGCATTTTTGTTTTAAAAATGATTAAATTATGCTATTATTATCTTCCGGTTAAGGTTTTTATGCGATTAGTTAATCTGCATGCAATAGTTATAGAATTATCAACAATTTAAAAGTTGTTTAAGTGCGGCTAAACCTATTTTTTAACCATAGCAACCATATTTGTTTACATTTGAAACTTAGCAGAATGGTGAATTGAGTGAGTTTCTGTACCTTCAGTGTACTTTTGCCGAGTGGAAATAAAAGTAAACTTTCATTTTTGTGCGCCGAAAAATCTGCCTTCTTGCCCTCTGGCTGATTTGCTTGTTTTTGCATAGAAACTCTAATTTTAATTGTAAAATTGTTTTTTAATTGCTTTAACTGTATTTGGTGTTTTATATTTTTCTATATTTTTCAATTTTTAATAAAGATATTTTGAGGTTTTCATGTATTTTTGTCTTGTCGCGAAGTGAGAACTGAATTAATTGCATGAGAAATATATCTCTAATGAAATTTGAGGAAATAAGTTTGAATGAAATGCAGGAAAAAATGTGTATAATTTAATAAGCTTGTACAAGGAAGTCATGTCGTGAACACATCAGATTCTTTTTGTTTCGTATTTGTGAGCTGCGAATACAGAATTAGAGGACAAAGGGTAAAAACTATATTAATCTTCTGAAAAAACTTACATAAAATTAATAATTTTCAGTCGTATGGTTATATTTCGAGGTATTTTGGTACACGTAACGCAACTTGATATTTTTGACATTCCCAAGTAATTTTACTATTCTTCTTGTTGTTTGGTACAAATTTTAGAAGCTTTTAATAGCTTTTGCTGCCCTGATGTTCTGTCTATATGATTGGGAAAAGAGCCTCGATGTTGCTCGTGGCAGTCGCAGAGGTAATATTGCCATTTATGCAAACAGTCCTCCTGTACCAGTTAATTCGAATTGTTGGTTTTTTAATGTCAGCCGTTGTTGTACATAATATAGAAAAAAAATATTTTTTTTTCGTCCTAGTCTACAGTATCTCAAGATTCGTCGATTTTTTAATCTTTCGATTTATTGTTTATTATTTGTTTTGTGAACTGAGTCGTCTCCGTTGCAACAGTTCCCCGAAAATATTGTGAAATATTATATTAAAAATGCAAAATTACATTTTGTTTCTACATAACTGATATAAATTTTCAACTTCATACCCGTATCTATATAATTCCAGATTTTTATAAGTACCAAGAGCCTCTATATATTTCAAGAATTTCTCTCACATTTAACAGATTTTGGGTTTAATATTTTTTCTTTCCAATATCCATTGCTTTCATACTTGATGAATAATGTGCTGTTCATCGCCAGTGTCATTTTCAGTAATCAGTTCTTTTGAACATTTTCGTACAAGTAATAAAATAACACTACTGTAATTATCATTATTAAAATTACCTATCAAATCAATTTCTTCCGTGGAGCCAAGCAGAGGCCGAGCGTTAAAATTGCTGAACACTGGTAGTTCCAATCGGGGTTCGATTCTAGGCGAACGGGCTCGCTACGTGGACGTTTTTGAGGCTTTCCTCATATGTAGCGTGTATAGGAGCCAGTTTCTCTTAGAATGTCCTCCACGAAAGCATTTCTTCCCTTAAGCTAATCTTATATAAAGGTTTTCTCTAATATTAAGAAAATACATATATTTCAACGTGCGAATGCGAACAAGAATAACACGTCGCTAAAACATAAAACCTCTTGCAACCCATGGGAAACCTCTTGCTAATGTTATTCTTTTTTATTATGCACGTTTGACGAATTAGCATTCTATGTTTCTTACGTGAAGCATGTTAATACCTTCTGAATAAATTGTTCCTTTACTGACAGTGTTGTTAAATTTTTATTATTTTTAATTTTTAGTTCTATATTTCTGGTTTTTTCATACAAAATATTTGACATCCTAGGTTGTTTTTATCTGCGACCGAACAAAATAGTAATTACATTAAAAGTGCAAATACAAACTACCTAAAGCTAAAAATACTGTCTGCATGTTTTACTTACTTTTCGTGATTTTATTTTAGCTTGTTTGCTTAAAGGGTCAATTTTTCATTATATTCAGTGTTTCTTTTCTTTTCTGCAATCATTTAATATCAAGAAACATGTTATTTCATTTTTAACAAAGTTTAGTGAGACATCTAATGTTATATACTAAGAAAGTTCAAAATAATATTGGAGAAGTTCACTCTTCTCTTCTGAGAATAAGTGATCAGTGGAGTTCATGTTTCCATAATAAATCAACTTTACCGCTTTATAAAAACTTGACCAGTTATAAATTAATTTGTATCACGTTAAAATATTCCTTTTCCTTGCTGAGCTTTCAGAATGCTTTAACTGCACGAGGTTTTGTGATTTATACCGTATGCAATGTGAGAATGCTAGAAGTTCGAACCCAGAAAAACGGGCTGACTACATGGCTGGCTTTTGTGGTTTTCCCCATGTGTAACGTTAATATGAGTTAACCCGTAGAAAATCTGGTTTTTATCCATGTGTAACTTGTATACGAGCCAGCTTCCCTTAGAAAGTTCTTCACCAAAACATCCCTCCTCTTAGGCAGATAGCCCTAGTGTGCTTTGACGTTATCCAGTGCTTTGCCATATTCAATTAACCTGACCTACCCAAACAGGTTTCAAAAGCAAAAAGATTAAGGAGCTTCCATAATAAACTTCTAGAATATTTCAAAATTCGAGCTTTTTAAAATCAAGCCTGAAATATATGTGAGAAATATTTACTTTAAACAAATTCATATATCTGTTTCTGGAAAAAAAAGTTTGCGTATCTGCAAATATGTTAAACTATTTCTTTAGCAAATTAAAGTAATGATTCCAAAATATATAAACGCTGTAATTCCAAAAATATTTCCAATGCATTCAGATTGAAAATTGGAAACTTGATGCACAGTCTTTCTTCTGTGTAATTCAGAATAATCTAACGTTAATTTCTATTGTTCAACATTTATTTTATAATCTATGTTAAAATTATTATGCTTTAATGCATTAAGTAAGTAATTTTTATATTAATCTAATACATCTGGAATTAATACAGATATTGTTCATTTATACATATGTATTTGCATAATATGCGCGCTCATATGAACAAATAAGTACTGATAAACAAGTACACAAGTAGTGACAAACAAGCTACACCAACAGCCTTAAACAAGCTACACAAATTCAGCAAGGTAACTACAGAAAGAAGTAGAAAAGTAGAATAGTTTACGGCATCCCGTGTACATAAAGAATGGTTTTTCTTCATTGACTTATTCATTTCAGTATTTTTGATGTCTTACTGTGATACAAATAGTTTGTTTTAAGAAATAGTACAGTAATTGTGATTCAAAAACCTATGAACTCTTTAACTTTCATCATTAGACCATAAGAAATCTTCATTTAGATAATCTATTTAAAAATGCATATCTTATTTAGGAATTAGCGTCTAATTTCAAGATTTAACAATTATTAATTATTGAAAGCTCTGCACCTTCCTTTTAATTATCTGCAAATATTTTAGTTAGTGACTGTTAATCAAGTGTCTTCCTTACTGTCTCTAATTATTTTTCAGCCTATAGGTTTTACCTAAATCTCTCCATTCTCTTCAATTTCATCGTTGTTAATTTATTATTTATTTTCATTGCTATTTTATTATTACTGCTGTTAATGTTACTTTTTTTAAAATGAAGCAAAATCAGCTGACAGAAAATGCTGATAAACATGTATCTGAGAAATTCACTGAACTTTACAAATATATAGAATTTAAAGGGTGGAAACTATTCCATTTTGTATGAATCTGTAGCTACCCTGCTGATAAAAATATGTTTATATTTATGTGTATAATATACAACTTCCGTAGTGCGCTGAAAGAAAGCAATGTTAGCTATACTTACTTTTACCTGTAACATAAAGTAAGAATTAAAAATGACGCACTACTCTTTATTTAAAATTTACTAACGTGATTCAAATCACTTTACCTGGGCATTAGAGCCAGCAGCAGACCAAGTGGGCTTTAGCATTAAACAATGAGTACAGGTTAATAATTAATCAAGTAAACAACTCATATTCCTTCATGGAAGCCTAATAGCTTCATTCTTGTTGCACGTTAACTATTATAATTATAATAACTATTATAATTTCAAAAATGCAACTATTTTCTTTACTTACGCTGTGAGTAAATGAATAAAAGCACAAGCTTTTTTTTTTTTTTTTTTTTTTTTTTTTTTTTTTTTTCCCATGAACGTTCCGTTTAGTGAAGATAATAAAAATCTTTTTTGCCATGCTTACAGATATCATTTACCAGAAGGATTATTATCTTTCAACCGAGTTATAATTTGATGAATCATGTGTTTAACAGTTACATATGTATTGACAGTAAGAACCTAAATGTAATTTTAGTTCTTGTATCTGGGAAAAATGTGAGAGATATGCAAAATTGTGCAACAAGAAAGAAGCAAAGCGTTTTATCTGAAAATACATGAAATAATTAATCATTTAGATAATACTTACGATTCCTGGAAGCTAAACTTGATACATTGGTACATGATATAGCATTGCATATATTTTATCAAATATAAAATAAAAATCATACGTGAAAATAGAAGCTGAAAATAGTACATCTACATAAATTAAAAAATTATATTCTTCTATCAAATCTCTCTTCTATTAAATTCTGAAATCTTCTTTAAATTATCCGGCTGTCAGCATATTGGTAAAATCGGATATCTCCAGCTAAACACTGAAGAAGATCAATTAGGCTTGGCACTTAGAATGTTAAATTAATTTTTCTCTTAAAACTCTTAATAGCAGTAACCGGTTGGAGATTATGTTAGCATACTCTACATGTGTTATGTTCACCAAATGTGCTCAAATGGCCTACTTTCCATTTGAGGTTATATGATTTGACACATTATTTTGTAGACAAAGAAATAAAAATAACATAAAAAATTCGAAAAGACAACCTAAACTTTGAAAATTGGAAATTACCCTTTCGCATTTCATAGGACAAAAAATTTAATTCTCTTGCATACAAAAGCGGGCACACATGATTTGAGAGAATATTTTATTTTTTTATTTTTATTCATAAATATTTCATAATTTATAGCTCTAAATTATTCATTTCATAACTTCATTTATATTTCAAAGTTTTCAGATAGAAATAAAGCAGAATTATTTGGTAAAATTTAGACCATGAAATTTTAGAATTTCGCTAACTTTTTAAATTTTTTATCATATATTAAATTATAGATAACTATTAAATTTCTTTTGCTATATGATATGTTTGCTTTGCTTTCAGCAATCACAAACACCTGGTTAATAAAATATTTATCGCAGATAATTAGTTTATGCTTAAAATTTCTTATTAATTAAGGGCACCATTTTGATTTCTGTACAGATGGTGGGTACTCTAGTTCTATACTATTGCCTGTATAGAGCTATATTTCGAGAATTAACTTTCTGCGATTTCCGGAAAGCTGGCGAGATAAATTTTTTAAAAAGGGTTAAAATTATTTTATAGTTACAGAAAAATAAACTCGAATGGAAAATAAAAGAATAGGTTCTCTTAAAATGTTGTTTAATCGGATGAGTTTCTTCTTTCAAATTTTTTAGCGTGGAATATGCAAATGATTAAAAATTAGAGGTCTGTGCTAGAAGGATCCATCATAACATATGCAGAACAAGCATTGAATAGTCCATATGAACACAATTTCAACATCAGTAGTGACAGTATGACGTTGAGTTAAATCCTACTGACTATGAAGATGCCTCGATGTTGGATTTTGCATAATCTGAGCAGTTTGGAAAAATTATATCAGGGCACTAATGAACGCAATGGTCACCTAGCACATGGATCTGAGCAATGTTTTAGTCCAATGACAGCACAACACTTCAACCAGAGGACCATCGAAGGTAAATTTTCAGAGACCATCTCTTAAAACTGCGCACACAGCAGGCCATTTAACTATCCAGGATCATATAGGCAAATATATGCCATCCAAACCGTTATGAGACGACTTGCTGGACGTCTGCCAGCATTATCATGGGATTGTATTCAGATAGAAATGTGACCTTCAGTGATTCCTCGCGATTTGCAGTCAGCTTTAATGGCTTTCTCGCATGTAAACTGTATGGAAAATTACTGGTCAGCTCCTGCACTTTACAATGAAATGCTAATGGACTTTGTTTTTATAATGGAGCCTCCCACATCGCGAGTATTGATACAAGATCATCATCATTCTACGACCAAATTATTCCCATTCTTATCACAGTGTCTCCAAGTCATTTTTAGAAAGAAATATCTGGCCATACCAGGCACTTGAAAATGAAATTTGATTTCAAGTAACATTTTATTTCAGCATTTTTTACGCGCTTAGGGAATTTTAGATTGCACACACACACACCTAAAGAATTCTTGAGCAACACCATAACCCCTAATCCGAAATCTGCATCATTTCAGTTTAAGAAAGGTACTACAATTCTTCTGCTGCCGATTTAATGTTCCCCTCCTTCTGCAGCAGTATCCAAAATTATCTATTCAGCATCGCTTTATCGTTAAGCAATCATCGGAAAGTGCAGTTCAAGTGCAAATAGTAGAGAAGACAGAAGTTTATGGCTTCAGTAGTTTAAAATAAATAGCTTGCTTGCGAAAGTGTAGAACACAAAATTGTGGATCAATCAGCTTGAAGCGCTGTCCTTTACATTTCAAAAGGACAGGAAAGAAATGCCTTTTGATTTATAACAGAGAGTACAAAGTTCCACATGATATGCTATACTTTCGTCTGTTGCGTTTAAATTAAACTATACTTCCATGAACAATACTTATACTTTCAGGAACTTATCAAGCGTGTTTTAAACTTAGTTGTAGTTGGCGTTATGTCTAAAACAATGTTACTACGTCTAAGTTTTCTATATGGACGGTGATCTAATAAATTATTTTGACTAAAATCCGTTACATATTTCCTTTAGTACAAATTGCATTTTTTAGCACTTAAATTTGGAAATTTAAAATGATATAATCTGACAAATATGCCATCACAGAAGAGTTAAAATTTTTGCAACCAATTTCGAATACAGGAATTTTTTACTATAACAAATATGTTTACAACCTAAATAAGCATATTAATATGTAATTATTTTAAAGTTATTAAATTCAAATTTAATGCACATCCTTCAAAAGGTTTCAGTTTCATAATTTTATGGAAAGTTACAGAGAAAAAGATTTATGTATATTTATGTTAAAAATTTCAAGCATTTTTTATAATAGGTTTACAACATTCTTTTTTATCAGAAATGTTTCTTTTGTTGGTACCCTTTTTCCACATTTTATGCGATACCATTGATGCTGCATTAATAAAATTAAGTATAAGTAAGTGCATAAAACAATAGGATTAAATATATGGATAATATTTTAAATGTATTCGAAATAAAATTCAAATTTTGCTGGATAAGCATTGCTACATTGTAATTATATTAATCCAAGTGCTATCAAAGAGTGAAACATCTTCACAATTAGTGACGAATTTAATATTAATCTCTTAATATTAAATTATTAATATAAAAAAATTCTTTCGAAATTTGTTTTCTGTAGCATTTCTCTCACCCAAATCGACGTAGCACGTGTGTGAATTATTTGGGGGATTTCTGTAACTTTATTTTGCGCTTGTAAAAAGTAATTTTACCGATTTGAAATATCAGATAAACAAAAAGAAAAAATAAAATGCGTTTCGAAAATTAATTCAAAGCTGCTAATTATATAAAGAGAAAGGGGCGTTGTAGAATATAAGCTGCATTGGCATGAAATAAATTTTAATTTTCGTTGGCTGTTTCTCGCAATTTATCTAATGCATGCGAATTGCACAAATCGAGAATTTGTAAATAATTTTATAAATATTACTAACTGATTTCATGAATTTATTAAATCGTTTGTCTCTTGTAAATCATACGCTAAATGTAATTTGAATATTGTATTCGTTTGCTTTGCAACACGAAAACACTTTTACATATGAAATGTACGAACAAAAGAGACCTCTTTAAAGTATTTTAGAGGAAAATAAAATAATAAAAGCAATGAAACAATAATGGGTTAAATATTTAGGAAAAAAGGCAGTTTTGAAGTTACACTAACTAATTTAATTAATTAGCTTTACGGAATATATTTTACTTTTAAATGCATAAAATTCTGAACTTAGTTTTAATTAACTTCGGATTGCTCTCAAAAGTCTCTGAGGATATATTTATTCTGTACTTAGGGTTATAGAATGCAATTTTTATATCGCACTAAAACAAAATCAGATGAATAACAGCAGTACCTTGTATGTGCAGTACAAAAAAACTAACGTTTCTGTTGTTTGTAATAACGTTTACCTCAAATATATCTCAAGATCATAAGAACATTATTTAAATTAAAAAATTAATTTAGTGTTGAAATTATTTTTATGTTTACACTTTTAAAAGCAAAGTCAATATTTTAATGAAAACTAACTTCTCACCCAGTATAAAAATATATGAAATACAAGGGTGACGAACTGTAAATAGTTTGAATACTATTTAACTATATAAATGCTTATTAACGCCTTATTTATTTATCACTGTTTGCGTTATGATTTAATAGTACTAAAGAATTTAGACGCAGAAGACAGAGTAAAAGATAATAAAATTATTATTTCCTATTTCTAGAAAAGGCTTGAAAATTTACAGTAGTATGTTTCATCTCATAACATTAAATCATACTTTATTTTCCCATTTACATTGAATCAGTTTATATTAGATCAATGTATTTTTATCGATTTTATTTCATATTTACACTTTTAGTTAACATGTCCTCTACAAAGCAAAATTTCTTCAGACTGACTATTTTGCATTACCCTTGGTAAGCAGTTATGTTGTACGTTGTATGGACATTTCATGACTTGTACTGCTTGACTTATTTTTATTTCATGAAAATTATATCTTAATCAAAAAAGAATCTGTAAAGCAACTTACTCGTTAGGCGTCTCACGAGTTTCTACATCAAAATCTGTCGCTTTTGCATCAAATACGAGACTTTGAACCAAATGTTTATCACCTAAATATGAAAAAAAATTATGACGATGTGAAACAAATTTCTCATTAATAGCAGCTATTTAATATTAAATAACAAAGTAATGATAATTAGTACTGATTAAAAAATTCTGGTATGAGTTACATTTTTTCTACAGTAAAAAAGCACAAAATCACTGCACAAATTGCTTCACATTCAGAACATAATTCATATTGAAATCAAAGTAGTCACGGTTGATATAGGAAAAAAGTTAATAGATTACGCTTTATATCATTAATAGAGCACGCTTTATATTATGGTTAATCATGATTAAGCTGATTTTGTGGGGAAACCCAAAAACAAAACTGATTGGTTTAGATAAGATGCAAGATTTAAATAAATAATTGACATTTTATATGTATCTTACAGCCATTCAGATAATATAACATAATTTAATCTATAATTTGATTTCAGGGCAATTAAAGCGATCCAGAATACAGAAATTCTGAATGTATATTAATCAAGCCGTCAACATGCAGAGAATACTAATTTTAGTAATTTAAATAAATATTTTAGGATACTGCGGTTTAGGAAATGTATTTATCTAAGAACCGCATTATTATTTAATAGGGAATTACCTTGCGGAATAACGCACAAAGTTTTTAAATTTTAATTTCTGTGTTTGAACTTGTATTTTTTATCACAATATTTGAGAATATGATAGCGTTTTCAAAACTTGGTTCACCTTTAGAAGGAAAATGTGATAAAATGGCAAGATATTACACTTGAAATCTTGGATGAATAGCTACATGAAAATTTAAAAGATAGCTATATATTACTTTTCATCAAATGTAATTTTAATTATGCTCTCGAAACTGAAGTCGGATAAAGTGTTAATTCAATTTTTGAATTAACACGTTAAATTGAACCTATTAATTTAAAAATCTAGTTGTAGAGACATTAGGTTATTTGGACAAGCCGGAGAGATGAAAAATTAGCAAATTGACCTCTGGAATACCGACCCAGCGTGCAGAACCACTATACCACGAAGGCACGTTAGGAAGGCGGTAGAAATACCTTATATACTCCCCTTTTTAAAGGGCGACTGGGGTTTTTTAGGGGACCCAATCGCCAAATCCTGTGTGTAGAATCCTCATCCAACACTCTTTTAGTTCGGGCGCCACTGTAGAGACATTAGGAATTTTTTGGAAGCAGGCAAGATGAAAAACTAGCAAACGACTTCGCCGGTAATCGAACCGCGGATCTCTGAAATACCGGTCCAGTGTGCAGAACTACTACACCACGAAGGCACGCCAAGAAGGTAAGCGAAATACCTTATATAGTAACACATTACTTTGGCCACCAAATATTTATTTTAGGAAAACAACAGTGTAACTCCAACCCCAAAATTAGAAAAAACTCATATCAGCAGATTCTAATATTTACAAGGGTAAATTCTAGACTATATTTAATGGGATAGAAAAATGTTTGGAACATTTATAAATGTAATATAGCTCCGAAGTTCCGCCTTCTAGATTAATATTTTACATTTAGGAAACATTTCAGCTATTCATAAAATTAGACTATTGTGAAAAGATGGCTACAGACATAAGAATATCTCAAAATTTTCCGTTTGATTTAGAGAAGACTATAATGCTAAAACGAATTGTCCAACTAAATATAAGAATGTTCACATGCCAATTATTTGCGTTTAATAAATGAATCAAGCAAAGTAAGCATTCAAATCACTGCTGGTTTAGTTTTAATTTGTTGCATCGTTTAGCAAAAATATGAAACAAAATACTTATGCAAAGAAAAATTCCAGTCAATTCTAATTTGTTCCGTAACTTTTTAAAGATCTTGTACAAGGAGAAGGATCTTTATCTTTAGTATACCGAAATGGGCCTAAAGAAAGCTCAGAGGTATGTGAAAAAATAATAAAGTTCGAACATAAGCATTTCTGCAAATAAGAATATTCTTCACTAATACCTCTTCACCGTTTGATTTTAGGCAAGAGTTCAAGGTAAAAATTTAAAACTAATATAGAATAAGGAGATTAGCATACAGCCAAAAAATTAACATAGAAATTTCCTTTCAAACAATTCCTTTTATACCCTAAAAATATCTGGAAGATTTCTTTGAAAAATGAGGGTATTAAGAAACTAAACATGGCTGAAATATATGGACTGGTTTGTGCTGAGCTGCCATCTACTATAAATAAAGAAGGTTCAGAGTAACCTATAGTAACCTTCAAATCCTTTTTCATTCAATTTTTTCTGTGCGTACAGAAGGAAATTTTTAGGTGTGCCCAGACTGGGCACACCGTGCCGCAAAGGGTTAAGTAAGGCTTGATACGTATAATCGGGTTCATCCATTATCCTCAATGCATCTGCACCCAGTTTTATAACATTCCTTGAAATTTACGTTTTAAGAGAATGGACGATACATAGAATCTAATGGTAATCAAGTTGACAGCAGCACAGCAAACGCGAAATAGGAAAAATAAGTAAGCAGTCAGCAGCAGCGAAAGGTACAGTCGGTTCTTTGTTGAAATTTTGATCTACGCTTTACATAAGTACTATACTACATCTACATCTTATGCAAAGCGTACTACTACATCTTATGTAAATATACTACATCTATATCTACATCTATATATACACTACATCTATATATCTCTAGCGATATACTACATCTTATGTAAAGCGTAGCAAACGCTTTGCATAAGATGGTATTATGTGCAATAATTTCAAAATGATGCACTTTAATTTCATATATTATAAACAGTTAAGAGTTTTAGGACAGGAAGGAAGTAGCCAAATTAAAATGAATAAGTAGCCAAATTAAAACAAAATAAGTAGCCAAATTAAAATGAAGAATAAAAGGTACTATTGCCAAATTAAAATTGGTAGATTTCTTTCATATTTCATAGCTTCTGTATATATGAACCGATTACTCAACCACACAAGAAAGCAGCTGTAATTTAGAAAATATTTAAAATTAATAAAGAGCAAAACTTTTTATTAACTAGTACAAAACTTTGAAACTTGAAACAGCGGTATAAGAATATAAATGAAAAAAAAAATAGCTTTGGCGTTGTGCGATCCTTCAGTTTTTTCCTTCCACGTTTACTTATCACTTTTTCAGTTGCCTGCTGAGGTTCATTCACTGTCTTTTCGTTTTTATTGTCAAGGCTTTGTTTCAATGTAGTGCGAATTAAGAATTTTTTTTGTACTATTTATCAAAATTTTTGCTGTTTGTTATATGGATGTATAATTTAAATTTTCTGTGATTAACATAGAAAATAGTAAAAATTATCTAACTTAAAAACATACATTGTCAAACGATAAAGTATAATCGGTAGATAATTAGTATGGAAGTACCCTATATACCATTACAAAAGTTATATTCTTAGTTAAAAGAAAACATGTAACACCTATTTCATTGCTATAAAATATCCTTTTCTTAGCAGAAACAACGTAATATTTCAACTTATGAAATTTCAGTTAGAGAAGTTAACAAAGTTTACCTTAAATATTTGCATGTGATATTATACATATACTTACAATATGCTTGCATACAATGTGACATATACTTACAATGTGTGACATTATACATTGGAGGGTTCGTTGAAGTCGTTCGCCATTTAAAATTTTGAGTATTTTCAGCTTCTTTTATGAAATTTCTTATTACATCTTCTGGACTAATATAAGGCTCGTTTTCATTTTTCTGTGATTCACAGTATACCCTTCAAAGAAGAAGAAACAAAATTATAAAATATTTTTAATTAGAAAACCTTCTTCATGAAACTTGCAAATGACTATATTGAACTGATTGATTATTTGATATATTTTCTATCAACAGTGGCTTTTGCATATTAAGGCTTAATATTTCTTAGGGTCTGTTACTTGATCATGAATATTTACATAAAACAGGGAATTAAAACAGCTAAATCGGTGGTTAGCTTGATTAGCTATTTGCTCTAGAAAAGCGCTATTCAAACTATGTGTCGCAACCCTATTTGGGATCGCGAAAATTCGTACTGGTGTCGCAAGGTGGATTAAAATCGTAAAATTTCTGAATTAATAGTAAATAACTGAGGGTCGAAGCTCTGATTAGGGTCGCAAAATTGCTTTTTGGGATAGTTTGCATTTTTATGGGTTCGCCCTACTATAAAATTTGAATACCACTACTCTAGAACACTATTTAATAACTTCATCACCATTTTACAAAATTTAGACAAAATCTTATATCGAAAAAGCGAGCCGAGTGCTCAGTTTGAAATCGACCAAATATTTTCAATCACTTCTCTTTAAAATATTTTGTATTTTTAGCTTTACAAATGGGTTGATTTCATGCTATTAAGTCAAGATTCCACCACCTCTGTAACTGTGTCTTTCCACAATATGGGATTGGTTGTACACAATATGGGATCTGGTGCGTTTTCTCCACCAAATCAGCTGACGACATGAATCAATCTCCAATGTGAAGCTGGACTTGTCTGTGAGGATGATGAGTGGTCCAGGAGACTTTGTTCTCTTGCCCGACATAAGTGCGCACCTTTGTTTCCTCGGGTCAAAGGGACACATCAGCTGGTCGTCTTGCATACAGACCTGTATTGTGCAGGCGTTTGCGCACTGCAGTAACTGAGATTCTTGTTCCGGTTGCCACTAAATGATGCGTCATGAGCTGAGGATCAGTAATGTTACTCCTCCTTCTGGGAGAAAGAGCTAAATAACGGTCTTCCGCAGGTGTTGTATCTCTAGGTCTGCCTGGAACATATCTAGACACAGAATCCTCGGATTCAAACTGATTCCATAGTCTGTGAACCACATTTCGAGAGACATTGAGACGTGTAGCAGCATCAGCTTGTGACATCCCCACTTCCATATATCCGAAACGGAATAGGGAAAAACAGCCAAATTCACATTTAACTAGGAGAGTTATAGTGGGTTTCCTTGAGGAAGGTGTTGAGCAAGAGGCTGAGTTAGCTGCAGACTACTAAGATCATTAGAAAAGCCTACTAAGCTTCAGCCTACTAACATCATTAAGAGTTTTTCTGAAATGCTTCTCGGAAAATCGTATATTCTTCCCCACTTGTTGTTAAATAGATTTGTTTCGCCTCGTGTTATAATACTGCTTTCATACCAACGCTCAGATGAACTCTTATTCAATTATGAGGCAGTCAGTGTGCCACTTAACCACAGCTTAAGGCTCTACTACATGGGATGCAAGGAGAGCAATTATTGATGACCTGATAATGACCCGCTGGACACCTCCTTATTTTTACTATCGGACAGGTCAGCAGCTCGCTTATTAACCCAAAGCGTCAATTTGACCAGAAGAGCTATTCATTTCGTTCTGGCGCTTTGCGTTTATTCACTATAAACGGGGAATCAATTTTAAATTGTTGTCACCAAATCTTGGAGCCCTGTATTATATTTAAAGTAATTAAATAATGAAAATCTGCATAAATGTATATATGGTTCTTGCACTGTGATAAAACAACGGTACCCAGAGCCATATCGTACGTGAATATCGTACGTATCCACCCGTATATTGAATATCGTACGTCTCGACCCGTATATTGAATATCGTACGTCTCCACCCGAATATGGGCATCTAGAAGCCCAAATTTAGAATTTGATTTACTATCTGTTTCATATTTTGCAAAGCAGTTATGAGGTTTTGATTAAAAAACTCAACGATTTCAAAGCAAGCAATGGCGACACTGTACGAAACAAAACCCATCTTTATCTCCATCTAGCTTGCAAGACTGTGCATCGGAAATTCTAAAGATAAGGTTTGATTTAAATATTTTGTGATATTGCTGTTGAATTGAATTTTATGGTTTAAATGCAAAGGACATGATATTTAATAAATAAAAATAGCACAGAAAACGTTAAAAAACACCCCTCTGGGCCTAATATAAAATCTGAAAACTTTCATATTTTTATTCTTTTCTTTTTGCTATAATCGTCAGAAATTTCCGCTAGTCCGAAGTTATGGTTGTTGTAATAAAACTTTTATGTCCTGGATTGGCGACACTACTAAACACACCTTAGCTTTCCCATTGCAAAATAGTTGGTGACTTTATTTTCGGTTTCCTTTTTTTCCGGTATCCATTTTTCCGTTTCTTTTTTGCTGTGTGATTTTTTTACTACAACCGTGTATGATACTCAGCACAGACTAAATAAAAATAATGTACTCCCTTCATAAGGAAACTTTTATAAAGCCCCCCTTTTCATTTTTAGAAACAAAAAAGGTATTGTAAATTTAACAGCCGCTCGAACTTTCATAAGCAAATAATATTTGAAATACACAGTGAAAGATTTTGAAAAAAAAAAAATGTGAAAATTCCCTTCTGCATTTAGACTGAAAATAAGTTACTTTGTTTTTTCTATTAGTCTTACATGAAAAAAATGTACATAGCTTTTTCAAAATTAATTCCTATCGTACCTGTCGCAGGTGTGTAAAATCGGTAAACGTGCAAATAAAATGAAAATTCTCATTTATAAACGTAACTGCTAAATTCACATTCCATTATTCTAACTTATAACCGTACTGCAACTAACGCTAATTTATAACTAATTAATACATTTGAAAATAATGCACCTTGAAATAAAGGTCATGTACTTGTGGTGAAATTTACATGATATTCTAGATTCTTCTACGTTATGCGTAAATATCTCTTTGATATAGGTTTCCGTAAATTAAAAACATCTCTATAAATATTTCAGACTAAACTTGGCACTTTAAAATTCGAATAACGTGTCTTATAATAAGCTTTTATAGCCAAAAAAAAATTAAGACATGAAAAAAAGGGAACCTTTATTAATTGCAATATAAAATGTAAATAAACGGAAAAATAATTTTTAAATATTTTAAAATTAGGTCTTTAATAAGTTTTGATTATAAACACACCTTTATCGTTAAGGAAAGGCTGTAAAACTGCATTTACAAAAAACATATACAAGAGTTAAAAACTATATGATTTGAAATTAAATAAAATAAAAGTCTGGCTTTAGGGATGTATAAAATGCAATATAGTTTTGCACTTTGTTATTTATTAACATTTCTACACTTAAATCCATGAATAAATAAACCTTTTGTTTATAGTAACATCCCTTTTGTTCAAAATTCATTGAAGTAGTAGATTTAGTTAAAAAATTATAAGCAACTATAGAGTTATTTTGAGTCAAATAATTAATTTTACATTTCTTCGTTAGAAGCTCGTGATATGTCTTTTACGTTTGCTCTTTAAACAATTAAAATTATTTATTAATTTAAATAACATATTAAAATATGACGATAGTGTACAAAATTTTAGTCGAATAATAAAACATTTTACTCACCAATCAGGATGTACCCTCCAATTATTTTTTTCAAACAATTTGCTCACTGAAAAATTTTTATAGTCGTTAGAAATCAGAAACATAATATTTAAATTGATCGAAAAATATATGCTGAAGTATTTGCTTACAGTTTTCACTTTTTTCCTTAACTGCTATTTGACCAGAAACCCTGTAACGGCCGTAGGATTCTGGTAAGACAATAACTAACCTAAAAAGGAAAAAAAAATCAATGTCAATAATTTTTCCAGTCATAAATTTTAGCCAACTAAATCTCAGCCAATTTCTAGTATTGCAAAATATAGATCGCACTTACGAGAAAGGGGTTCCATCAATCGGACCGTAATAGTAAGAATTATTTCGAGTTACAACTCTACTCTGTAACAAAATGCAACATATTATATAATGCAAGAGGCTGAAATGACTTATGCATTAAAATAATAAACATAAAGGTAGAACACAATAAAAATATGGAAGCTTTAGAATATATCTACTAAATGCAGATCCGAAATCGATAACATTTAATATTAGATTTCACACTAAAAGGAATTATCAAATAAATCAAATAAAAAAGTTTGGTAATTAGTAATGCGAATAAAATTGCAATATGAGCTAATATTTGTATAAGCTTAATAATGTTAAGAAGAAGCTTGCATAAATCGAAGCAAAATAAATGCACTGCGTGTAACATGAAAAATTATATATTTTACTACAAGATAAATATTAAATATTTTAAAATTATACACTGAAGTGTATATATGTATATTAATTGATATTTACTAATATCTTACCATGCTGTCAAGGTGCAGTTTTGTTGAGAGTTTTTGCCAACCAATGCGTCTATTTATTGTTGAATTTTTCATCTAAATTAGAGACAAATCTTTAATAAATAAAACAAAAAGGCAAATTTATATGAAATGTAGAAAGGATGAAGTACAATGAAAGGAAGAAATTGTGTTAAAACGGAAAAATGCAGTCGGAAGGACAAAATCAAGTTATTTGTTTTGAAGTACTCAAGAATCTTGTACTTTAGAATAAAAGGAAACACTGCATTTTATTACAATATTGCTAAACATAAATTAGAAAATTATAATTTAATATACTTTGCTAAATTCTTAAGATTTCTTACAGAGAAAATCTCAGCGGTAAGTAGCAAAGAGAATACAGATTACTCTTTATATTTTAAATTAGTTAATGATTTATGATCGATGCCATAATGGACAGCAGTCGTAGGTTCGAAGGAGTGATAGCAAAATATAGGAAAGCAAAAAGTATATAAAAGATAAAAATGTGACTCAGGATTTGGTAATTAAAACTGAGGCGACAGTAGGTTTCTTGCTTTCCGAGTGAAGATGAAAAACAGAATTTTTCGGCAGGTTAAGGCTAGACAAAAGATAATTAGACAGAAGTTAATTAAATGTTTAAATATTGATTTCGTTAATTTAACCCCACGTTTCAAGAAACAGGTTTCTTTTTGAATTTCAAATAGAAAAGAGAGACAATTATTTATCGCTTGGTTACATCTTTGGAATATGGAATTTATTTTGATACTTAAAACTGAATTGCAAAATACGTCATTATCAATATTGAATTCAACTCATTATATATCATTGCTAACAAATAATAAGCATTTTTGTTCTTAGTTTTAACAAAGATGACTCGTTCCATCAATCTTAAAATGCCTATTATTATAACTCTTACACTATTTTCAGAAAAGTAATTGATTTTACACTCGAAGAATATGCACTGCCTTTTAAAATGAACTGAGTCTATTTAACTGAAAATAAAGCATCTAAATAGTTTTTTAAAATTTTATTAAAGCAATTATTTTTAAGTGTATTCTTTCAGAAAACACATCATATGTTTTAAAGAAAATCCAGATTTATAAATCATTATTATTTCTAAATTAAAATAATACTTTAAATAAATTGAATAAAAAAAATTGACTTACTCCCAATAACGTTTCATCAAATTCCTGAAAAACATTAATATATATATATATATATATATATATAAATGTACTGGATGCTAATTTGAAAGTTTAAATATGGAATTATTAAACAATTGTGTAAATATTTACCCTTGGGCCTAACTTGTCATCGTCTACTAATTCAACTTCCGTCATGTCTACAGTATTATACTGCGGTTTTAACATATCTTGAAACTAAAGGATGTAAAAGCATACATACATAAAGTAAGTATAAAAGCATAAACATGTAAAGCAATGCACATTAGCTTTTTACTAAATGTATCAAGTATAGAATGTAGTACATAAATTGCAACTAATTTTAGTCCTTAATTAAAATATTAATAATTAACAGATGCAAAAATAGCGCTCCATCTTGAAAAGTTAATAAGCGGCAAAATTTTGTGCTTGTGTTTTCCTGTAAAGCAGGGTTTCTTAAACTTTTTTCAGTCGCGACCTCCTTTTATGACTGAGATTTTTTCGTGACTCCCATAATATTTACAAAAATTTTGTGGGACCCCATAAGTATTACACAAATCCAACACACGCGTGAGTGAAACTCAATTTTTTCACTTGTACTGTAATATACTACTGCAGTTTTAGGTTATTAACTTTAATTTCTAATTTTAAGATATAGAACAATGTGAAAATTTTAAATAAGTAACAGACGAAATGACAGCATCACGTGCAAAGCAAGGAAAATGAACGTTTATATTATAAAAAGAATGCTTCGAAACATTTTCGTTTTTTTCTTTGTCTGTATTGTCTTATCTTTATCTATTTTCAGATACATTGTGTAAAAATATTTGATAATTGCAAAATTATTATAATAAGTTAAAGAAATATCAAAACTGTTAAAATTTTTTGCGACCCGCTTGGAGATCGTGAACCACAGTTTAGGAAACCCTGCTGTAAAGTAAGAATCTCAAAACTCACTGTTTTTAAAAAAATCGGTTTGCTGTCTTCAAGGCGAAAGAATTCAGCCAAACATTCTACTATTGTTCTTTCTCCCTTTTAATGCAGACTTACATTCCTCCATGGGGGCTGTGGAAAAGAAAAATTATGGCACTTTTGTGGGTTTCTGCAAAAGCGCCATAATTTTCCCTTATATTTCCGTGAACGCAAAACATAGAGAATTAGTTTATGTTTCGTTTGATGGATGAAGCTGTGTCCTGCAAAATATAAAAAGAATTTGGGAATTTGGAATTACTGTTCAGCCACAGCTGAGTGACCCAGTTAGCAAAAATGATAGAAATTTTGATGACGTCATATGACAGTGAGTGGCCGTGTATTCCCACTTCTGGGGAGTGGCGCATTCTCGTCTCTTACGTCTTCAGTTGCTGGTTGGATGCGGTCGTGAATGGTTTTACAGCTATATAATTTTATTTAACTAAAATTAATATAATTTTAAAATTAGTGAATGAGAAAATTTCTTGAACGGAGGACTGATTTTCTCTAACTTAAATGTTCAAAATTTGGCTGCATATTATGAAGGTCTTGTAAGAGATAAAATAATAAAGCAATCCGATTTTATTGCCATGTTTGAGACTTGGATGTTTGAGGATTAATCTATTCATGTGGAGGGTTTTGAACTGAAAGCGTTTGTGAACACTACATTGAAAAGTTGTTCTGAAGACAGATAACGAAAGACCAGTGATGTGGCTATCTACAGGACTCTAAAGAGCACTGCCGATTGCAATTCAATTCTGTTTACTTTAAATTATACAAGAAGGATAGAAGAAATAGGGGCCGGTTATATAGTATGTATGGTCGATGTTACAATTAATGAACAGGTGAATTTTAAATTGGCATCTGTATGCATTCATCCTTCAGTTAGTTCAGAAAATTTAAAATTGTTTCTCTTCAGCGCGATTTATTTTATCAGACGATTTCTCTTATGAGATATTCAAAGCTGTTCAATGAATTCGATAGAGATACATACGTACCGATTATTATGATGAGAGATTTTAAATGTAAACGCGGAAAGAAATGAAAAGGTATTGGTGTGTATGGTGTATTTAATTATGGCAAAGCACACGAGGGCTATCTGCCTAAGGGGAGGGATGCCTTTCGTGGAGGACTTTCTAAGGGAAAGTGGCTCGTATACACGTTACACATGGGGAAAACCACGAAAACACCCATGCAGCCAGCCCGTTCGCGGGATTCGAACCTCGGACCGAACTACCAGTGTTCAGCGACTTTACCGCTCGGCCGCTGGTGGGCCGAAAAGGTATTGGATTTCCTAAAACAGTACTTATCTGAACATGGTACCTTTGAATTATCAGAGCATCCCTGGCAAGTCATTTGTAGATCTTAGATTCACACGAATATTACTATTCAATTATTGAATTCTGTTAGTTATTTCTCGTGTCATCATCCTATATTGCTTAAATAGTTACGAATAGAAACTGTATAAAAACATGTACATTTTGTAACCATTTTGGTTTTTGAAAAATGTCAAAAGTCCCAAATTACGAAAGGAATAGTTAGTCTACGCATTGAATCCCAGCGACTGTTTGAAACAGCCAGACTCCCGAGAATTTTTTTTTGTTCTTTCAGTGCATTGAATTTTTAATTTATTACTTAAGCTAAGCATTACTGATTTTTGAAATTTTACAGGATTGCAGAAATATTTAAATTAATTTTTAAACTAGTAACTATGAAAATCCTGAAGAATTTAAAATTACTTTATCACAACAAAAGGAAGAGTTCACGAAAATTTCAGTTCAAAAATGTGATAATAGCTTTATACTAAATTAAAAATTCAAATTTACAGTAAACGCATACCTTTAAGTTTTTTTCTAAATTCATATAATTCAAAATTTCTGACATGATAATTTTATCCATTGAAATGACTTAATGGTTAGAACTTTACTAATTTTTTAGTTATTTTCTATTTTATTACCATTTAAAGGAAACATGTAACTTCTTTCTGAGAAAAATTAGATACAGTATTTTTAATACGAGTACATTTCCACTTCGCAGCATCCTAAACTAGATCACACATGTATTTTCATTTTTGAATTAACTCGTATTTCACGAGCTTAAACATAATATCATAATGCCATTAAGAAATTATCAAATATTTCTTTAATTTTTAGTTAATTACTTCAATTTCTGTGGTTTTCCACTTCAAAGAATTTCAAATAAATCAAAAATACCCCAGGTAATATTTACAATTAATAATAACACACTATATTTTCGCTGAAACAGTTTATTCTAAAAGTCAGTTTACTTCAAATGAAAAATAAATAAAGAGTTTATCACAGAAATTATAAAAATAGCTTAACAAATAAATAACTTAGCGGTAAATGGCAACAGTAAGAAAAATTTTAAAAGAAAATGATTTTAAAAAATCTATCAACTCAGCTAGTTCGAGATTCTGAGGGTTTTTGCACAGCCATAACTTTTCCTCTTGTCCCAGATTAAAGTACTTTATGTTACTTTTTTGTTAATTTTTTACATGCAATTTTTTTATGTGGTGGTTGTATTTTAATTACATTTACTCTGTTAAATATACAAAAATTTATTTTCAAACTTAAATTTACTTACAATTTTCAGTTAGCCGATAAAACAACGCTACAATTTTTAATAAATGTTCCTATTTGGGAACTTTGGCAGGTAAGCTTTGATAATTGTCTGTTCAAATGGAAATTTGAATTAAACCTTTTATTAAATAATAGCAAACTAACTGAACAATATATTTAAAATCCAATGCAGTAAACAAATTAATTTTAATAATTTTCTATTCATGTCTTTAATGTTACATCTATGAAAGAAATTTTCAACTTTTATTCTGCCACTTAAAAATTAAGCTGAATCTAACGACTTATATAATTGTAGTATATTGCAACATTAACTGTACTATTTTATGTAATATATATTATTAATTGTAGCAGCAGTACAATATAAAATGTGTAGCAAATTAATAATAATTGTAGATATAATTGATAACACTCGTAGAAAATTGTGGTACATTATAATATAGAATGTATTTGTAACATATTATAATATACTACAATAAATTGTAGCTTTTTTAATTTCTAATGCATGAATAAATGCATAAAATACTCACTAAAGGTCTGAGGTCTGGATGATACAGTACAAATCCATTATTCGTCACAACGAATGAATATCCATTGACGCCAAGCTTAAAAAAATAACAAAATTATAAGGGGATATATATGTACGAAACTTGTTTTGCAAGTTTTAATATTTCTCTCTAAATACTGTTGTCTTTAAACATTGAAATATTGAAATTTTGAAGGCTGAGAATTCAGTGGTCCCAAATTCTTCTCTTTATAACAAATTTTCTACATAAAAACATTAAATGATTCAATGTTTTATAATAATAACATTCTCAATGTATAAAACTAAAACTTTACTCGAAATATGTTTCTACAATCAATACCTTTTTGAATTTTATGTTATATCTTATGAAATTTGATATTTATTATTACGAGTATATATTTTGAGTATTATGAGTTAGTATTTTTCAATCTAAAGACATTATTACAAAACTGAACATTCTGAAACGTCTGGGAACTGTATTTAGGGCTTAATTAAATGCAGAATTGAAACAGATAAGCATGAATATCTATTCTAATCCTGTACATAGTTTATTCTTTGGCTGCTAATGTTTAAACTGTTCTATACAAATAATAATAAAATAATGCACTCTAAATTGTATGATCTAAAAAAAAAGTAAAAGAAAGAAAGAAAAATAAAAAACAAACTAAATACATTTTAGACAAGACTACCTATAAACAACAGCTCTTTCTTTGGGTACAGTATAAGCCTTGAATAAAACACAAAATAACACTTTCTTAAAGCAAATGAAAGGAATTACTTTGAATATATTAAAATAAAAAAATTCTAAGATATTTTACGTTTCTCTTAAATATTTATTTCATAACTTTTCTAATTACGGAATACCTATTATGTTTAAAATATGCTTCGTTAGTTAGAGTTTTATTATTGTTAATTAATAATTATTACATGCAACAATTAATATATTTTAAGTAACTATATTGTATTATAGGTAGCTATTATAGACAAACAGAAGGAATCTTCTTTAGATGAAATTATTTAATGTAGCCCAATAAATTAGTTGAAATGTCAGATTTCCCTGACGGCCCGTAATTTATGTGCTCGATTAAGGTCTTTAAATCTTTAGCCGTAGTGTAAAAATAAGAAAATGCATAGCAGAAGTATTAAATTGTATTTTTATATACGTTCGTTTCTCAATGCATAAAATAACAAATGCTTGGTGTTTTAAATTAAATGTTAAAAAGATAACAAATACTTACTTTATGCGGCGGCGTCAGTTTTATTATTTCTCTTATTGGAACATCAGTTCCAGCTACGCCAAGTATATTAGCAACTCTCATCTACAGTGTGAAAAATAAAAAAAAAAAAAATAATAATTAAGTAAGCAGTTACATGTGACATAATTTTGCATATGATTTAATGCTAAGTTAATATTCATTTTGATAACAGGAGCATAATTTGAGAAGGAAGTTTCTAACATACTTCTTTTGTCCTTTCTATCCAAATGTTTTTGCTACTCCTAATTCTTTCTGTAACATTCTGTAATGAAAGGTGCGAAGAAAACATAGTAAAAGACATTTCAGAATAGCTTAAATAAGCAATATTAGTATAATTTGCATTAAAATATAGCATATTTTCGTTGATGGTGCAATACATTGTATGTCAAAAATGTCCAGTTTAAATTCATTGGCAAACAACGATTTTTCCAAACGCCATTTAGAAACGCCAGATATCTCTCATGTATCAGAACTCTTCAAACCAAATTTATTTATTCACTTATTTTAGATTGTAATACAATTTATTGTAGCAATAACGACAGTATTTCATAGTGTGTCAAATTACTTACAAATTACCCGTGTTACTTTATAACATTGCATATCTTTATATGGAGTTATATTTTTCCAGCAGTATAATCTAAATATTAAGCACAATTAACAAGCATCCCTTTAAATTTTATAGCAACAAATCTTGTATGATTGTCATTAGAGACTGCACCAAAAATACTAGCTATGCAGTTGACAGCAGGGTCTAAGTTCGTGAAGAACTTAGTTCGAACTTTAATGAAGCCACTAATACAGACCACTTTAAATTCATTAAATTAAAACGACAATTTGAATGCTTAGAAAACATCCACTTCTTTCAGGCTATGGATACATGCAAATTAATTTCAATTACTGTTATCCAGTATAAGAGGATTTCACGCCATTTTATGATTACTTGAAAAATGTAATTTTTAATGCATTTAGGATATTTTTCAAGTGAAATAGGAAACTGTTTACATTTAGTGTGAAACTAAAGAAATCTCGTGTGCGTTCACCTCAGCATGATACTAGGGAGGGAATCTGGCTTAGGAACTACCAATGGAATTGCTATCTTTCTCTCGTCGTATCAACGAGTTTAATTTGCTGGCCCGAAGAAAATGTGTTAAAATATTGCTGATCCTTCTAATGTGTTTCATGCTTATATCTATAAAATTCATTCGGAAAGTTCTTAAGACCTCTAAGTCAACATTCTGAAAAAATCACACGAGGACATAATAAAAAATGCATTTATTAAAGAATTCCTTGCGAACATAATCTTGCGTAACTTATGAAAATAATGTTTTTAATAAAAATGCAAAACTTAACAAATAAAAATCATTTATAGCAAAAACATTTACTCACCGAGAAATTTCTTTTGTCAAACACAGGCGTAGCTACAGTGATGAGTAGTTGAACAGACTAAAATCAGATAAATAAAAATACTTAAACATGTTATATAGATCATACAATACAACAAGACAAGAGATAAAAAAAAGCACTTGATATTCGCAGAAATTCCACGAAAAGGCATATTAAAATTCATAAGCAAAATAATATAATCCATTAATATTTTTAATTTCTTAAGGTATTCAAAACAAAACGAAATTAAACTATTGGTATTCCATCCTGCATTTATTCAGTTTAAAATTTCTCAGAGTTGTACAATTATCCATACTGCAGTCGTTGTAGACGTCAGCTGCGTCACGGGTTATGACTCATGGTCAAAATGGAGAAATAGGAAGAACTGGCTGAAGATTTCGCAACCGATAAGCTGTAGTGCTAAGTTGAAAACTAGGTACTTACATTAATTTGTTTTGGATATTCCTTGAAGTATGTAAAGCACATGAATAGTTGTGAGCAAGGGTGCTAGGCTATTTTACTTAAAACTAATAATTTTCGATACCATGCTTTCATCAAAGTGCTAGATAAGAAGTCTGTCACTACTGAGGACATTCATACTTGTTTTACTGAATTACACATCCCATTTCCCCAAAATGATTTCCAGCAGCAAAAGATATATATATATAAAGATCTATATATATATATATATATATAAAGATCTTATATATATATATATATATATATATAAAGATCTTATATATATTATATATATAAGATCTTATATATATATATATATAAGATCTTTTTATAGCAAGGGAGTCTTTAGGTGAAATCCTTAACAATCCTCTTCCTCATCAAAGGAACTGGGTAGATTGCTTTGAACCACCTTGCAAGAAACCCAAATTTCTCTCTAATTCTGCTAAGAAAACAGAAGAAAGAATGCGGATATTAAGCAAAATAAAGTTACTACATGTTTATCACCGTGGAAATACTCAATATAGAGGATAACTTGGATCCCGAGTACATTTCTCCCAGCCATACCGAGACTATCACTAAAGCTAAAACATCTACTTCTATAGCCTACTAATTACTAAACAAAATGATATCTTTAGACGCAAATTGGCTCATGTTAAAAGCGCAGCTGGTAGAAAATTTCAGGCTAGATATAAAAAGTGTTTAATTTTGCAACTCTTATCTGTATATGGTGTAAAATACGTATATTAAAGACAGAAAATCACATTAAGTGAAAAATGTATTACTATTCACTATCAGAACTGAAAAAATATAAAACGAACAGTAGGTTGATAGAATGAACAATTGATAGCAATTTAATCAAATTCAAGATAAGCCGTAAACTTTGTATTTAAGTGTGTGAAATATATTTTAACCCATTAAATATTTCTTTCCTAGAAACAAACTCAAAAATACTTAGTTAAAATGTGAAACATATCACTTGAGTGTCTAAGGTTATCCTGAAACATAGGTGTTCTAATAAAAGAAAATTAAAGGTGAACTTTAAAATCCAAAATCAACGAAGGAAGCAAAATATCCAGAACTGCCGAATGCATAAATATGTGGAAGTCATCATCAAACAGCCATCAGTCATTAATGAAAAAAATCAACTCCCAATCTGGTCTGGAAGTAATCTTACAAATGCTGTCAAAGAAAATGTGCTTAACTATCCAAATTTACGTCTAATTGCTCTAGATGTAACAGTATTAGAACTCGCATTGATAAATCCAGTCTTTATAATCACAAAACTGTCAAATCAGTTTACAAACCAATGAAAATAGCTCATTGAATCAACAAAGCATTTTGGTCATGCTTCTGTGCATCGTATAATTAAAACTATTAAAGATCTTACTGCTAAAATTTAAAAAACCCTAGAAACTTGAAATACGATCCTTTCTTTTTACGATATAAATAGAGTCAATGACTTTAAAAATTAACCACTAAGATTGCTTGCCGGAATTGATCACGCTGCCGAAACCTCAAAATATTTTTTTAATCAAGAATAAAGCTAAAATTCTTGTATAGGTGTGAAAATAGCCTCAGATATAAAGAATAACTTATGCTTTTCCTTAAACTGTCTCAAGCGTCATTCATCCTCTAAGCTGCTGATCGTTTGACTTTTTCATTCAACTACAACACACCTGAAGTTCCTTATTGATCACCAAGTCATCAGTCATTCATTGACTGAAACATTTATTGTCCCAAAACATCAAGGATTATTGCACTACAAACACGTTCGCTCCCAAGATAAAATTTTTTAAGGCCAACGGCCCAGCGGTAAAAGCTCTGAATAGTGGTAATTCGATCGAGATTCAAATATAGGTGAAAGAGATTACTGGATTGGTGTTTTCGTGGTTTCCCCAGTGTTATGCGAATACGAGCTAGTTTAATTAAGACACGAGCTAGTTTCTCTTAAAAAGTCTTTCATAAGGGCATCTCGTCCCTTGGACAGATAGCCATTTTGTACTTTGCTGTAATCTAAATAATCCATCAGAGCGTACACCCCTTCAGCCTTCATTGTTAGAGGAGAAATGACATAAAACTAAAAACTGTTATTTTTCTATATAATATGTTTTAATCATTTATGAAGCATTATTTTAAAGTGTTGCTTGTAGTAATTTGTCGTAACATAATCAGATATTCAAATGTTCTTTTGAAATATCATTATACATTACAGATATATATTTACCGTTTCTTTCAAGTATTTTCTAAATGAAAATGCATAGAAATTGCAATTCGAATTAGGGTTTCTTAATGTCAACGATTTTGGTTATCTATCAAAACATCTCCTAATACATAAAAAAAATTTACATGAGATATTCAGCCATCGTTTTAAGAGCTCTTGCTAGATGTCTCATTGATGTTCTCCTTTTGTTGAGGAGTTTCAGCTCTTATGCCGTGGTACATAAAAATATCGTACCTGCTCACGATGATGCGAACACGTAGCTCTAAGAATGAGAAGCCTTTTAAAAATGGATGTTAATTCTAAATCTTTGAAACAGCCTAAAAGTCATCACGCAGTTGTAAGCTCGAAGTCAACTTACTCACGAATTCGAAACTAGCATCACTATACCAACCCTTTCTCAAACTTTCAATAACATCCGACTCATGTTAACGTTTGCTAACGTCTGCAGCGGTTAAAATAGCAAGAGAATATGCAGTTGAAATAGCTCATGTAGATGATAAATATATTCCTAAATCAGGTAGCAAACTTCTCAAATGATACTATTATATGAGAATGGCAAATAGAAATATTCCATTTCAAATCAAGGGGCTAGAAGTTGTTCAACCTTCATGTCACAGAATTCTTCAAATAATAGATAACCTGAAATAAAAAATTCTAAGGTGAGCTTGCACAAAAGAGTAATTCAGGCTAACAAGTGCATTTCTTAAAATTTTTCATCTATTTTGTAATTTTCTTACATTAATGGAACAAAATTAAGATAAAAAAATTATAATGTTTAGGTAAAAGGTTAAAAAATAAAAGCAGGTATAAATTAAATATAAATGTTAATATTTAAAATAAAGAATTAATTAATACGTTTTTAATTCCTAAACCACTTCTGTAAAGTCATTAGGTTATTTTGAAGAAAGAAACGTGAAAAATGTGTGATGTCTTCTCCGGGACTCGAATACGCTTCGAGTGTACACCCCGAAAGCAAGGAGGGAGAAAATACCTTATACTGCTTTTAAAACAGTGTTAAGTAATTCATATCTCAGCTTTTACTTCAGAATAAACTATACAAACTTTGTTCATTAATAAAATTCAAATTCCAAAATGTAGTTTAGGATTGTTATATGGCTAAGTACAATATAGATACTAATTCATAGTGCCAAAATGCAGTAAGGTTATTTAATTTGATTCTTACATAGTAGCTCGGTTATCTTCAAATTATCCCGCTAAACACTTTCGTTATTCTGGCATCCTCTCTTAAAAAATATGACCAAAATCAAATAATAATTTATTAGCTAATAATGGTTTATAACTTTCTTGTAGTCAAAAATTTTTTATCTTCTATTTTAAATAAAAATTATAAATTTTTTGCAATGATTTATATTATTTCAATACGAATTTGCTGTTTGAAAATACTAGATTGCTAGGTAAAATATGCTTATATAAATATAAACGTTTGCATATGGGAAATAGCTCTTGAGCGATTTGATTTTTTTAACCAAACAAAAGATTACCTTTGTCTACATCCAGAAGAAAGTTTTATTTCTCGATTTTTCTGTGGGTATGTATCTTAAATACGAATATAGTTATCTCTGACGCTAGCAATCATTAACTGCGTACATCAGTTAAAGTAAAAAATGACAGTCACTCATGAAGATCGAAAATTGGTTGCCACTAACATTTTCATGGCAGCTACAAGTTAAAATAAACATTTCTGTGTCAACTACATGATCATTTTAATGACCATATTCTCGCTAAACATTGTTTGACCTGGATAAAAGGTCTGACCCAAGCTTGATTTTTTATAGGAAATACCCATAACTATCCCTCACTTGAGACTTTTAGCCTATATATCATATAGAATACAATTATTATTAATGTACCTAAAAGTTTTCAAAAAATTTAAATAGTCAACTTTATAACTAATTTTATCTCAAGTTAACCAACTCACGTTAATTAATTTCACGTTCTTGCATTTCAGATAATTTCATCTAAATGACACAAATGAATAGCGTAAACAAAAAAATATTTCTCACGGAACTTCTAATCGGAAGTAGTATCTTTTGTTTGCACTTTTGTTTGAAGACACAGTAATGCTGTGCAGGTTTGGCATTGCCATCGAGGAGAGCTACTATTCTTCAAAACGCACTTCTACTACTAGAAATTTTGCTCCTATGGGGCTGCGTTTTATACCTCACAGAAAGTAAACTTGAAATCTTAGCGCTATATTTTTGCAGAGGCCTAAAATCACGGTAACTAAGATGCCTTATAAAAGCATTCAAAAATCAAACTGAAATTATTGATCTCTGCTTACATCTAGTCTAACGAATAATGAATACAGATGGTACATAGCTGTATGTCTATATCACCAAAACTTATAGAATAAGTAACA